AGGGTGTGGTTAACAGTGAAAGTTTTTCCCGTTAACTTGATGACGGAAGGTGTCAAATTCGAAATTTCCCGTTCCACTCTTTCCACTTCATTTCGTATTACCTCTGCTGTTTCTTTGATATATTCAAATTTAAGAGGCCGACAAAATCGTGTAGAGGATGGTCTATGATTTTCCCAACGAACTATGGAAGCATCGTGGTTTTCAGATAAGGACAAGGGCACAACTGACGTCAAAAACATGTTTGCATCTGTGACGTTTTCATCGGAGAGTGTTTGTTTGTATTGAGAATGTCCTGATGAACCATCACATCCCCATTTTGAAATCAGTGTGAGTTCACTTTTAATCATGCACAATTCATTCTCCGTCTTTCCTTATAGAATTTCTCGCCACAGTATGATCCAATAAGCCTTGCAAAGTGACTTTACCACAACTTTCTGTTATTTCCACCGTATTAGGGTAACACTGTTTTTTTGAATCAAGTACTTGCAAATAGGGCGGGAAAATATTACAGCCTACTTCTTTAACACATTTTCTTAATATTTCATATTGATATTTTGTTAAAGATGCGTCAAGAATTAAACCTAAGGCTTTTAGAGTCAATATACCTCATAGGATCAGCTTGTTTTTCTTTTTTTATTTGTTCTGCTGCTGCGATTATCAATTCATCAGAAAAATCTTCTCGAAGTTTTTTTATTTTATTTTGCTTACTTCTTTTACACAAATCTTCAAAAGGTTTCTCTGGGCGACCTCCGACAGACTTAAGGGATGACTCGTTTTCGGATTCATGATCAGATTCAGGAAAATTAACCAAAAACTCGCCCTGCAACCACTCACTATACTTCCGAAAAAAAATTCGTTTCACATGATGCACTTCTCTCAATTTTTTGGCAAAGTTGGGTTGAAATCTTTTTTTTATGGCTCCAGTTACCAGCAACAACCGCTCTCCTTGTAATTCTGGATACTGTTCCCTTAAACCTTGCTCTAAAGGGTACTCACGGTTAAAGAGTAACTCGCACACAACACTGTATGGTATCACAAATTGCGACATGTTTATTATCCAGCTAATAAGACAAATCCAACAACAATACTGATAAAGTTTCATATCAAAATTTATCTAAAACCGGTTTTCGGCATCCGCAAAAATGAAGAGAGTAGTTTTAATTTTTTTTCACACTGTTTATCTTTTATTTTAAATTTTTAACAAACTTGGCCGAATCTGGCGATAAAATTTATAGAATCACTACTTTAACAGTTGCCTTTTTTAGTCAAATTAATCCGAGACCAAAGCTCGGTAAAGCTTTTTTTTTCTAATCTGATTAAAGTAAGAAGTAAAGTAATTTTATTAGAAATAGATTCAAACTAAACTGCACCATGGATAAACCAAACAGTTCCTGGGTAATACCGATTTTTAGGAATTAAAAGAAGGGCTATAAAATATTACTTGTTTTCGCTTTATTTTTGCGCGTTTCGTATATTAAGAAAATTGTCAAAAAGGAGGTGCTGTAAATTCAAAACTAGTAATTAAATTAAAAAAGTAATATTATTATATTGTCTTTGAACTAACTCGATGTAAGATGGGATAATTTAAACCCGATTTAACACCCTCTTGTTTGGGGGGTTTTCTCCATTGCCGAAACCACTGTGCGACGTTAGTCGCACTATAGTAGGCAGAAAAGTGCACGATTTTATTTGTCTCCAGATTTAAACATTAAAAGGATGTATGAACTATATTTAGAAAAAAAATGATCCCGAGAGTATTAGTAACGCTAAGTATAAACCCAAAGTTTCGTACGACTTTTATTTTAGATATTTCAAGAAAAATTTTAATTACCGTTTTGGATCACCTCGATCAGACACATGCAAGAAGTGTGATATCCTACATAACAAGTTAAAAGATACAACCATCGATGAAATGGAAAGACAAGAAATGCAGATTCAGAAAACTCAACACGAGACTAAAGCTGCTACGTTTTTTGCCGATTTAAAGGAGAAGACCAAATTAAGCACAACAAACGAAGAAGTTGACGTTCTAACTTTCAATTATCAACAAAACCTCCCTTTACCAAAGGTTCCATCAGGTGAAAGTTTCTATAAGCGCCAGCTTTGGACTTATAACTTTTGTGTCCATTCGGGTAAAACTAGTAAAGCCCACTTTTTTTATACGATGAGGCTACTACTAGAAAATCGCCGAACGAGGTAATATCCTTTTTGTATTATTACATAAATAATATCCGTCCAAAAACAGTTAAAGTGCCTATATCTCTTTTCCGACAACGCCATACAGTGGAGCGTCCAATGCTATATTTCGGTCAGAAGTGATTTTTAAAAAGTTACGGCATTTTTTTGTTTACTTTATATTTTTCAAAAGTAGAGTCATCGGCTAATGAAAAGTCACTAATACTTTCACAAAAAAATAATTACGAAGTTGCTAATATGGCCCCTAACCAACCTTATCATTTATGTTGGTAAAATAATTTTAAGAAGTTATATAATTTTGGAGGTTTATCTAATCAAAAAATATATTTTTTATACTACTTTCAAAGAGTGTTCTCTTCGCTGTTAATAGTTTATATGTAAACATTTATAGAAACTCTTTAAAATGTATTTTTTTTTTCAAATCGATTAAGCCTATATTTTATGCATATCTATAATAAAATCAAAAGCAGAAAAAAAAAGATCTAAATGGTGGTACGTTTTGTCGTATTGCAAATTAAGTTCCTTCATATAAGCAGTTTTCCGCAAAAACAAAGTGGGCTGCTGTCATCTGCTTATTCAATTGTTTTAATATTTGAGAGATTACGTGGCCGCGCACCGTCTTCGATAATATTGCATAGCCTATTTAGGTACTAGTTAATATTTATCCCGTTTGCAATAACTTGAAAATTTTACATCCGTATTTTGCTTTTTGAATTTTGGCGTTGTTTTGAGTTGAAGTGTTAACCAGTATTTTGCTTTTCAAGTTTTGGCGCTGTTTTAAGTTGTAGTGTTAACCGGTATTTTGCTTATTAAGTTTTGGCATTGTTTTGAGTTGTAGTGTTAACCCTCCGTTACACGCGCTATGAGGGAATCCCTCACAACATTGGTTTTTGTACGAGGAAATTGTTGTAATTAATACAATAACCTTGAGCGTCCAGGTATGCCTTTGGCATCGTTTTTAAGTAAGGGGGAATGACGTTGCAGAATATTTCAAGCGATCAGTATGACACCCCATCTGATCGAAGTGATAGTAGTGTACTTGATGTGAGCGTTTTCCTCACTACGCGTGCAAACACGTTCGTCTGTAATTTCACCTAAATTTTGTTTTTTGTTCAAATATTTTGGTAAGTTTGTGATGTTTTACTAAAATATGATTATTAATTAATAATCATATTAATATATGATATATAATATGATTATATTTTGAAAATACTGGTATTGAAATGGTACAACGTAAATATTTAAAAAACTTCGAGCCTTCGAGCTCTTCGAGCTGATTAAGCCTCATCAAATGTTATGAGCAAATATCAGAATACTCCCCGTATTGTCGAGAATGCAAATTAGGGACCATTTGGAGATTGAAGATGAAGCTGCGCCGCTGGAAGTGCAACGTGAGTCTAATAAATGTGCCTACTGTCCTAAGAGAAAAAACCGAAAGACTCAGACAAAGTGCTGTAAGATGTATGTATATGTGTAAACTGTGGCCGATTTGCAAGGAGCATACAAAAACTTTGTGTACTTCCTGTTGGGAAATAGACAGAAGAATCTGAGTAGATGTATTCGTTATCTATGAAACTTTTTACGCAGATTTGTATTATCATTAAGGTATTCACTTTGTTCTGGTAAATAAATATAATTAGTATGGCGTATGAGACTTTCTTTTATTTGTTATATGTACAAATAAAAGAAAGTCTCATACGCCATACGCCCTTTTATTTGTACATATAAGCTTATGTAATTTTGTGCATACTGATATTCATTCGCCCATTATACTATTTAAATTTATGTATGTGAGGGAGACGCTCACACGCGTGCAACGACGTTACAGTAAGGCTGCGGGCACGCTTGCGAGCGATTTATCGCGAGCGATATATCGTGGACGACTAAACGACAAACAAATATTTCAAACACATTAAATTTCATTGCAGTGGCCATACCAAAAAAGTCGTCCAGCGATAAATCGCTTAGCGGCTAAGCGTGTCGCTCTGTATTCAATTCGGTTTGATTTCTCAAGCGACTTTTGTTGCACTTTTGTATTGTGCGTAAGGAAAGTTGAGAAGCAATGGCGTGTTCTAAAGAAATTTTAATTTCGGAAGTTCAAAGTAGGCCCATTCTGTGGCAAGATACTAATAAACATTTTAAAAACAAAAGTGTAACACACAAGTTATGGGCAGAAGTCGGGCTTGCTTGCGGTGTAGAAGGTAAGGTTTACAAGAAATGATTTTGAGGTGATGTTATGCTACGTTTTGATGGATATTGACTTCGTTTTTAAAATTTATTGAAAATTAATTGAAATTCAATACTTATGAAAACGTATAGCAACAGTTTATCACTTTTATTTGTCAAAAAAGAACAACAATAAAATACAGGTGATCACTGATGTTCATATAAACATGTCCCAAAAATCTCTCTTATTTGTGTAGCTTCTCTGGATGATCGATTGTTATTTCTTCCTCCTTCTTGATTTAACGGAACCGCATTTTCGTATGTTTGTATAGTTAAGTTCTCCATAACAGTACAATAATCAAGATCGGTTTCACCGTCGTGAATTCGTATAAAATTATAAAGTATGCATGCACATTTTATTAATACGCAAGCTTTATCGGGATATGTCTCTATATCTTTTGATAAGAAGCGCCATTTTGAATAGAGAATTCCGAATACACACTCGATACATTTTCGGGCTGTAGAGAGGCGTGTATTGAAATATTCTTTTCTTGGTGTGAGTACTCTGCGTGGATACGGCCGCATTAAGTATTTTTTCAATGGGTAAGCTTCATCACCAATTAAAACATTAGGCATTTTTATGTTTGATCCTGGCAGTTCTTGATCTGGAGGGACGCAAAATTGTTGGCTTCCAATAGGTTGAATAAAATTGACGCGATAAATGTTCCACCATCACTTTGCTTACCCCTGCCTCCTACTTCTATTGGCAGGAATTTTTTATCAGCATCAGCCACGCCTTGTAGTACTATCGAAAAGTATTTTAAATAATTAAAATAACTCGATCCTGAGTTTGGCGGACATTTTATTTGACAGTGTTTGCCGTCAATTGAGCCAAAACAGTTGGGAAATTTCCATCGATTATAATAGTCTGATATTACTTTTTGTAAATGTTCCTCAGTAGGCACGGGCATATATTCTTGAACCAATTTACTCCAAATTATTCCGGCTGTTTCAAAAACTATCATACTTATCGTAGACTTGCCCATTCGGAATGAAAATGCTAGACTTCTGAATGAACATCCAGTAGCTAAATATCTAAAACAAAAACAATGGAATTAATTTTTCAAGGTAATACAGGCCATCAGGTTTATTGCCCCCTCCCCCGTCTATAGAATCCGCACAAGTTTTAATACGTATTCTATGCTGACCGACAAAAAAAAGTAACACAATCAAATTTCATACATACACCATTCAGAATATGCACTAGAATAGGTTATTGTTTTAGGTAATGTGGCGAAATCAAAGTGGAAGAACCTTAAGGATCAGTTCCGGCGCGAAAACCAAAAGATTCCTGTTTTAAAATCCGGATCAAAAGCATTACCAACTAAAAGTAAATGGCAGTACTTTAAAGCATGCAATTTTTAAGGGACTATACTACGCCTGCTCCAACTCAGGGTAATTTAAGTGATGTCGGACGTTCGAATGTCAATGAAACCCAATATGATAGTGAAAATACCGATGATGAAATAGAACATAGTACAAGTAATGACGAAAATGATGCAGATGTCACACTAAATATAAATACGTCCCTATTAGTGGCAACGCCATCAAAACACGCAGAATCAGCATCACGTAGGCGGCAGTCTGAAGCATCAACATCACGCTCGCAATCCCAGTTGTCAACATCGCACCCTTCAAGCAGTGCTTCTGTTAGATCAGATTGAAATTTCCAAATATAAGTAAAAAACTTATGAACTGGCAGTAAAGGTCCATTTAAAAATATGGCGCGAACCTTTAGTTCTGCCAGTAGGCCGCTTGGATCGCGACGGGCGCGTGTTTCCAAGCTTTAACATAGGACTTTTCATTTCTTTCAGTTAGTTATTCTGTGATGCACAGTTTCTCGGTTTATTTCATACGTTTTTTACTGTCCTCTCTTTGTTCAGTACATTATAAACGCATTGTACTCTTCTTACATACGGAAATATCGACCCAAGACTAACCTTTGCCAGCCCTTAGTATAGGCTTTTATAGGTATAGAGAATAGAGGACAACCGTTTAATTACTTGCTCGCATAAAAATAATAATCGGTTTTCAGATTAGTAATCTGCATTTTGGTTTAGTTTAGATGTAGGGTAGGAATATATTAATATAATATTGTGTGTCTCAGGCCAACATCTGAAACGGCTCCGCAGAGGCCGGAGAGCTGGCCTCTGCGGATCCTCGATATCAACCGTACCAAAGTTCATAGCAGAGCTAAGGTAGCAGGCCATATTCCATTGAAACCATGTCATAGAAAATATGAAACATAAACCATGCCTATTAAGAAGAAATATATCATTTTTTAGGAAACATTCTGAACAGGGCGTTTAAAATAATAAATATCAGACCAACAGATGGAGGACCAGCAGATGGAGCAACCAACACAAGAAGGTAATTTACACCAAGATACTCAAATGGTTTTTGACAGCAAATTTGTATGAATTATTTAACGAAAATTTATGTATTCCAGGAGAAGGTCCTCAAATTCTATGATCGAAGGAACTCCGCAGCGCCCAGCAAAAGATCGTACAGGTTTGTAAAAGAAATTAATATTTTATTATTAATAATATCTTTGGGCACGGCAGTACAGGAACGCTGTAATTCTACGATTTCGTAAAGTATTCAGGACAATAAAGCGGTCGTCAATTGCATTTTTCTTCCGGAACCCACTCGTTTGGTGAAATTTCCCGTTTCCATATACCGATTCCAGGCATCCTGGACTGTTCTTCGAGGTATACCCAGGGCATCGGACACATAACGTTGACTTCGATCATCCTCAATTAAAGTCATAATACGAGCAACATCCGTCACAGATAATGGCATTTTTTAATTTGACAATCGTTGATTGCAAATATTCATAAATCCCTTTTCGTCTATGTCGCCTTGATTATTTACAGATAAAACTTTCTGACTGTGAAGCATTTTTCCGAGTCGTTCGTTTAACAGCAGCGTATCTCCAATACAAACAGAGATAATGTCGTGATTAAAAAAATAAAATGCTCACAAAAGATGAGGCTACAATGTGATTTGATTTAGCAATAGCTACTACAGCTGCTACACCCTACAGGGTGTTACAAAGTTCGGGCAAAAAACTTCGTCTTATTGTTGTGCCCATGTAGAGTTTTTACAACGTCGCATCCCTCAAAAACGAAACGCCCAAAATCTCAACCATCAATACTTGGAGTTACAGAAAAAAAAAGTTACTTTGTTGGAAAAAGAAGTTAAGAGAGGCGATGAACCAGAAAGTGCAGATTTACATTTTTTCAGAAGTTTACTGCCATATATGGAACGTCTATCGCTTGTTGACAAATTAGAGCTCAGAAGTACTATAAAAACAACAATTAGTATTCGATAAATTTAAAGAAAACATGATTCAACGGCAGCCACCGGAGCAACAAAAACAGAAGTTGTTACAAAGCCAATCCCCATTATTGGATGAAACACCAACATATCATGAACTTTCACCCATCAGCCAAACCCAACTCACACCACAAGCGTTACCTCTACTAGCATATGAAAATAACTACTTCCCCAGGGACATGGAAGAAGACGAGTTTAACAAAAGTGTAAACTTTAACTAGTTTCTTTTTTACTTACCTTATTGTAACCACTAATCGTTCTTCAATAGAAATTGGTTTTCCAAAGTTGGTAGTTTTTTTCACAATACTCGTTTTAATTTTATCCAGTAGTAAATAAAATGTGTGTATACTCATTCCAAGGTACTGGAAAACCCTCTCTGGGTATTTTCGCAAATGTTTATACAAATGATGATATTCCCCGTATGCTTTTCTGTATCTATTGATGGGATGTACACCATATTTCCTTTTTTTCTTTAAAAATGGGTCTAAAAATACATCATCTTCCAAAAAAAGGGCAATTCGACGCGCTCGTGTGAGAGGCATGACGAAAACTAATTTGTAAATCGCTTTTCTGTGGACAGGTTCTCGCCCGTCGCTCGCTATATTGTCGTCCACGATATATCGCTCGAGATAAATCGCTCGCAAGCGTGCCCGCAGCCTAAAGCTTTGTCCTACGTGGGAGACAAAAGCGAGCGAGCGACGCGTGCGACAACAGAGGACGATGAGCGCGACTAGCTCGACATATTTAAATTGCCTACGATGCCGCTTCAGTCGCGCGACTCTCCTACCTAGGACAGTTTCGTAAGAAAACGTTATTTGATAAATATGCGTCGCTCGCACCGCCCGAATCGCGCGCTTTTGTCTCCCACGTAGGACGAAGCGAAAAATACCTCTCCAAATTATTGCCAGGCCTATTTTCTTTGAATTTTGCAAAGAATCACCAGAAAATACTAAACTAATTACCCGGAAGTACAAAAATTAAATTGGAAATTTAAATAATACCGTAATTTTATTTACTGATAAACAGCTTCATATTTGTCATAATTTGTCTTTCACTATGATAGACGGTAAAGTCGCCCAGGTCATAACAGAAACATTTTCTGCAACATGTTGTACAATTTGTAAAGTTAAACCGTCGGATATGAACAGCCTTAGTAAAGTTATGGAAAGAGCAGTGGACGAAAGTGCTTACCAATATGGCCTATCCAATTTGCACAATCAAATTCGCTTTATGGAGTGTATTTTACACATAATAGATTACCATTTAGAAGATCGAGTGCTCGTACCAAAGAAGAGAAGGATCTTCTGAAAAATACCAAAAAGAGAATCCAAAATGAACTAAAAGAAAAGCTTGGTGATGATGTACCGCGGCAAGGAGTAGGCAGTTCAAACGATGGCAATACTGCTAGAAGATTTTTTCGAGATTTTGACCTTGTTTCAGACATAACTGGAGTTAGTAAGGACATTATTCAAAAAATGTCTGTTACTTTGCAAGTTTTGGTGAGCGAACATCCTATTGACGAAGAAAAATTTAAACATTTTTGCTACGAAACTGCTCAACTTTATGTTTGTCAATACAGTTGGTATTATATGCCTTCATCTTTACACAGAGTTTTGATTCATGGTACTGCCATCATTCAATCAGCGACTTTACCAATCGGCCAGCTTAGCGAAGAAGCTGCGGAAGCAAAAAATAAATACTTCAAGATATTTCGAAAGGACAGTAGTAGAAAATGCTCAAGAACTGCAACGAATGAAGGTGTTTTGCACTCCCTTCTTATTTCGTCTGATCCGTATTTGGCAACTTTACGTCACAAATTTAAACAAAGTAAACATATGGAGTTGGACCAAGAAGCCAAAGAACTTTTGATTTTATAGGAATCCTGTAGAGTATTAGATAGGTAATAACCAAACCAAACCCTATATTATTTTAATTTTCTTTTTTGCATTGTTGCCGTTCGATTTTAATTATTGATAAAAAACATTTTATGCGCTTTTAAAAATCCCCTAGCAAATAATTATGATATATCTAAATGTTTGCAAACTGCTAATTTTATCCAAAAAAATCCTTATGGGTTTTTCGCCACTGCACTGCAAGAAAAATCTACAAAATAAAAAAAAGAGGCTTTTTTAATTCAATCTAATAAAAATAAATGTATTGCTCATGCATCTGTAGATGTTAGTAATGTATGGCAATCGCTTCTTTGATTTTAAAGAACATAAAAATCTACAAAATAAAAAAAATAAAAGAGGCTTTTTTAATTCAATCTAATAAAAATAAATGTATTGCTTATGCATCTGTAGATGTTAGTAATGTATGGCAATTGCTTCTTTGATTTTAAAGAACATTACATAAATAAACATAGCATACGTGAAATTTAAAAATAATCATACAGAAAGTTTGGACTTTTTGGTTTTACCTTATTAAGAGTTATTATGAGTTCAGATCGAACAGTCATATGAGACGGTCGTGCTTTCGTTTCGTTTGTGGACCGCCGGTATTGAACGTTTGTTTTGTTTTGTTTTGTTTGGATTTGTCGTGTGTTGTTATTCGGTCTTGACCCGACCCGGTTCAGTTCGCTAGTTTTCGCTGAACGTGCGTTTCTGCTTTATTTTATATAATTATTTTTATATAGATATTTTTTTAAACGTGACCTAGCTTCGTTGACATTGACACTGTTTTTATTATTGAACTATACTGTCTTGTTTAATTTAATATTTTCCGATTTTGCTGTTCCTTTACACTTCCAGATGGCAGATTTTAAGTGTGATTCGTGCCAAAAAACCATCTCGGAAAAGGACAAATATAGACTTCGTTGTAGTGGGGAGTGACCTGTACTGGGCTGGACAAGACAACCACAAAAGTGATCCACCAGCAAAAGTTCAAAAATATTAGGTTTTTCTGCAATGTTTGTGATTCTCCCACGATGAAATATCTCCATGACAAAGTTTCACAGCTTCAGAAATCACAGATCCCTCTAGAAACTGTTGAAGGTCTGGGAACCTGTTTAAAAAGGAACAACGACCTGCTTCCAGTCATAACTGAAATCTATGACATATTGAGTTATCATGACTCCAAATGGAAGTCTTTATACAAAAAAATGGATGATATTCACTGCCACCACTCCAAAATTTCGGAAAATGGTCAACAATCTTTATTTCATTCGATCAGTGAAATAAAACAAGAAATACTCAACCTATCATCCATTTTTATGGACTTTCAGGATGAGTCTGTTAGGGTCCAGGTTCATGACTCTTCAAAGGTAGATCTTTTGAAGGAAGTCAGTGAGCTGCGTAGGAGCGTAAATCAGATGGCAACCACAATAGAAAAGTTTGCTGCCCAAGGCAAGCAAAATAATAGGAGTAGCCCACCAGCAATAAAAAAGTCAACTTCGACTCAGACAGATTGCCAAGCCTCAGTGGGTGTCACTTCTTCTAAAGTCAGTACTCCCCCACCTCACAAACCCTCCATTAGAAAAGCCTGGCATTATGTCGTTGTGTCCAATATCCCATCTCCCTTTACGGCAAACCAACTGGCTCACTATATCAAGGATAAACTTGGAACTTCGGACTTTATTCGTTGCTTTCCTATGCTTAATAGTGAGGACAGTTCACTCTCAAAATTCAAAGTTGGAGTGCAGAATATAAGGCACCTAGAGCGGCTGCTTGATATAAGTATGTGGCCCCCAGGAATTGAAGTAGTCAATAGCAATGTCCAACCATCTTTGACTCCCTCGGAGGTATCGCCGCAAAAATCAAGATCTTCTGCCATGGGATTTCAACAGCCTAAGATTTCCACTTTGGAGAAACGAAGCCTTCCACAATCTTCCAATTTACCTACAGATCTAGCCAAGGAGGTCAAATACGTTAAAATTGGTTCAGACAGGGAGGCTATAGCTGCGAGTAAGTCCTTTGGGCAGCAGGAGGCGAAAAATATTATCAATAAGCATCCAAGGGAAGGTGAGGTGCTGAGTTTGGACCCAATGACTCCACCTATTGTGCGGTTATCGCGTGAATCGGACACGGCCAATGGACGTTATTTGTTGGCGAGACTAAGGGACCCTTCGATATTGAAAGCTGTCAGGCTATTCCTTGCGTACCTCCATGACCAACCCCCCAGTGCGTGTTTTGAGGGACACACCAACACCAGCATCAAGTTGGCGCTAGCATCGGAAGGTCTCCCATGCGACATGGACTCCCTGCGCAAGTTGTTTTATCGCTTCCACGACGCGTATGGCATTGGCGTGGCTGAGGTTGAGGCAGATCTCTCCGCCTTCAGGACCTTTTTCTCATCAGAGAAGCTATTTCACCTTCAGAAGTCTAGGGAAAGCCACAGCAAGTATTTTTCCAGTGGCTCTCCATCTAAAAATAAAAATTTTTAATTCATTTGACGCGAACAGAGGATCAAGCACCCTCTGATAAATCGGACGATAGCAAGCTAGGTATTTTTCTTATCAATGTTCAGTCCTTAAGACACAAAACAGATGAATTATTTCTTTTATTGGAACAGCTCAAATTTCCTGAAATCATTGCCATAACGGAACATTGGTTAAATACCGATGAGCCCGTGTTTGTGAAAAATTACACAACAATAGCTAGATTTAATAGAAGTAATTTATCTCATGGAGGTACTATGATAATGTCTACCAACAAAAACCTTACGGCAATAACAAAATTTGATCACTTATTAGCCGAGAAAATGTTTGAATTTTCTATCATCTACCACATTGCTTATGACCTCTATATTGTTTGTATTTATAGAACACCTGACGCAGATATGCATATGTTCTTTCAGAAATTACTGAGTTTGCTAGAGTCCCTGCCTGTGAATAGCAGGTTGATCTTGTGTGGTGACCTAATATTGACTTCTCCAGTGTGTGTGATGCTCGGGTATCTCTCCAGTCTATCTTCGAGACTTTTGGTGTAGTAATGCATGTTAATGCACCAACAAGAATCACTAGAACTTGTTCTAGTACTATAGACTATGTCGTGTCATCCTTTGATCCAGAATTGGTTGACTGTACTGTGTTGAACTCAGGCTTCTCTGATCATGAAGGAGTATTAACAAAATTTTCCATAAAATCCGAGAGTAGAAACACTTTTCGTAAATTAGGACGTATTTTTTCGGAAAAAAACTTTATAAATTTTAAGCAGCTTTGTCTAACAACAGATTGGCATGTCATCTCTGGTGATGTAGACACTGAAGTTTCCAGATTTACACAAACATTATCTGGTCTGGCATCCAAAGCCTTTCCTCTCAGGCCTGTCAAAATTAAACATCATAAACCCTGGACTATTAAGGGCCTACGTACATCTGCAAAAAACATGCGCTCTTTATCTCACCTAAAAAATTCTCGGATAGTGTCTTCTTTCACGAGTACGTGAAACTTTACAGGAAAATTTACCATAAGACTATAAAAGCCGCCAAGGACATCTATTACAATAGGAGGTTGACTGAGTCCGGTAATATTGCCAAAGAAACATGGTCGATTGTGAATGACTTGAGGAGTAAGGTTTCTTCGTCCAACATAACCTCAACTTCACCTGAGGACCTAAACAATTACTTTGTGAATGTGGCGAAGAATATAGTGAATACTATCTCACCCTCCCTTGATCCTCTATCATTTCTCTCTGACTATA